CTGACCACGATGGGTTTGACCAGGTCCCTTAATCCCATTCAGAGTCCTTTTTTTTTTTTTTAAAGTGATAGGGTATTAATGTGGGAGAGATGGACACACAGAGGTTGAACCAGGTAAAGAACCAATGTAACATTCATTGTCTAGAGTCTAGTTCTTTGCTTTGTGGATATGCTCAATCACTCTTGATTTTTTTTAAGTTCATGAATAAGAGAGAATTTGATTCTTTAAAACAGCGATGACTAGCTAGTTGATCAGATATGGCCTGCATGGGTTTGTGGTTGGTAACCACTGGTCTTCAACAAAATCTTGAGTCATTGTTGAAAACTGAAGATACAGCAAAGAATAATCCAGATTTTAGTTACTATTGAAATACTATGACATAGGACCCTGTTGGCTCTGTGTTCCCACAAAGCAAATACCTGCTGGAGATGGCTAGCTTCATCTTCCTCCAGAGTTCCTTATCATCCATACCGCCCTACAGTTGACCCTGCCATTGGAACTAGTTTTAGTTGACATTCATCTCATATTTATTGTTATTTTCCTTATAGTAGAGGGATTATTCTTTCTCGACCTCTGTCACACATGGGGAAATTATAAAGTGACCAAAGATGCTCTGCATTCCTTTGTAAAAGTTCATTTCTCTATTACACAGAGTCTTGCCATTTTGTTTACCCTTTCAGGCTTTAGAAACATTACTCACTGCTTCAAGAGCTCTGGTGGCCTAGTGGTAAGGAGTAGGACTGCCACCCTGAAGGCACACAGTTCAAATCCACTAGCTGTTCTGTGGGAGAAGGACGGGCAGTCTCCCCTCGTGTGGTTTACAGCCTCTGAAAAGCTCTGGAAGGGTCCTCTACGAGTTGGTTCTGACTCAATGGCACAGAACAGCAACAAGAATAAACCACTGCTTCAGAATGCCTGTGTTTCCATTCTGGAAGTTAACATAGTAGGAAGAACCCAAATATTCTCAGTCAGATTCTGAATTCAGTAAATAGACCAACACATACATGCCTTTCAACCTCTGTGGACTTCAGTATCCTCTCATATGAACGAAGAGTGATGCACTAAGTCATCTCTCGGGTTCCTCTGAGCTTGAAATGCCATGATTTCAAAGTTCACTTCCTACAGGGAAATCATAGCAACAGTGAGATCACGAGTAGGTGCCCATTAAAAATACCAGCATTGACCTTTTTTTTTTTTTTTTTTTTACCCTTCCATACTAAAAACACCTGTCATTTCTTCGTGTTGACACTGTTTACTGTTACTATCATGGCTTCGGACTGAAAGCTCAGCTTCCCTGTGTGCTCTGAAATGCATTTCTGCTGTGCATTTGTGACACTGAGCTGATGAGGCCACGGCCCTCATCAGCCTGAACCGCACTGCATGTTCTTGACTGGTCATCATGGGTCACGTGCAAAAGGTTGCTGATGGGATGTCAGAAGGGACTCAAGGATGTCTCCAGGAGGATGCCAATCTCGGTCTCATAAGCCCTGATAAGATTTTTGAATCAAAAAATCGAAATGAAGTGACCGGTATCCTACAATGAATGCCCACAGGCTCTGTCATTTTGGAGCTGCTGTAACTAAATGAAGGGAGCAGAATTTAATCCACAGTAATAACTGAGAAGCTTTGCTCTGAATCTTTAAAAGATACTGATCCTTGGCCCCCACACCCAGAATTTCTGAATTAGCTGTTGTGGTGTGAAACTTAAAAAGAAGACATTTTGAAAGCTCACCAGTTGCCTCTAATGGAAAGACCAAGAAAACTGTTCGAGGTTGACTGAGACACTCCGAATGGACAGGAGTGGTCACACCCAGCCTTGATCGGCACCCCACGGACAACAGCCAGACCATGATTCAAAAGACCAGAAAAAACCACTGAAACCAGGTCAACTACATGTTTTTCTTAGTGTTTGCTTTTTTTCATTCAGAATAGAGCTAAACAAGATTCGTGTTATATTTTTAACATCAAATAATGGAGAAAACTTTGGGAATGGATATAAGAATTGGAGAGTTCATTGAGTATTATTTACTGACAGGAATTTAAAAGCTTCAGATTAAGAGATTTTTCATCTCATGTTTATTCATCAGCATAGCTTTTATATTAATTTCTAATCATTTCAAATATATAGCTTGAAAAGGTCCTGACTGACTTTTCCATTATTTAAAGAATATTATTAGGCTTAAATAATAAACTCCATAATAGTTTTCTTTTTTTGCAAAAACATAACTGCTCCTACTCCCTAAAGAAAATTATCAGTTACTCTCAGACTCCATCCATGTGAATCACATTCTGTTTTAATTGTTCTATGTGTTCAGCAATCCTATATGTCATAGAAATGAAAAAAAAAATATATATATTTTTTAAGAAGGAAGTGAATCCAAAATTTACCTGACTCTATTGTATTATTTTACAGATAAATACATTTTATCCTTTGATAACAGAATTGATATGGCCCTATCAGTAAATAGTCAGACCAGTGTGGAACTTCTACTGCCCCATAGATTTCCACAAGTATCCCCCACTTAGTGTGAAACATCCATTCTGCCACTTTTATTTGTCTTCGAGCTCTCTATGCCAACAAGGTAGATGTTGTCAAGTCCTGAATAAATGATGCTGTCTTGCTGTGGTGTCTTTGTGTGGTGTGTGTGTGTGTGTGTGTGTGTGTGTGTGTGTGTGTGTGTGTGTATTACAATTTAGAATGTCAGGAATCACTGTAGGTTGGCTTGGATTTCTTTGTAGTTAGCGTTCAAAGAATTCCAGACCACGTGCCAGTGTATGCAAAAGTGACTATGTTGATCACATCTTTGGTTGATGATTACAGTCTTCTACTGCTGTTTGACTAATATTTTTCCCGTCTCCAACTGGCTTTACTTTTTGCAGCTTTGAGCAGTAATTCAGTCCCCTACGCCTCCCTGATTGGCTCTGTGTCCTCCCTCTCTAGCCAAACCACCACTCAGTCCATATATGATAATAACTCTCTCCCACGATTCGCGCGAAAAGGTCTAAACATCTTTGTCTTTATTATTTTCTCTGTTAAAGCACTGTGATGAATGTCCCCATCAGCTCATTGCCATTCTTCATGAACCTAGAGTCTCTTGTGCCTTTGTATTTCTCTTCTTTTCACTGGGGGGAGGGGGGCGTCTCACCTGGATAAGATTGCTTTAATAACAGTCTACTGTCACCCACTCACTTTTTCCACAGAATGCAAATGAGCTCGATTCTACTATATGTGGAGAAGTGCTAGTAATGGGCTCTCTATTTGTTTCCCCCCAAATGCATGATTAGATCAGCCATAAATAGCTTTTGTGTTTAAGCTCCCTCATTTTTATTGGATCTTCCATTAAGATTTTAGCTGATGTAAGGCAGACCCTCAAAACCACAAAGATGAAAACATCCAAATTCATAGCTAAATGATTATCTGGGAGCAGGAAAGTGGCTTCCTGCTTTACGCTCGAGAACCATTAATACTTTGACCTTTGAGAAAAAGGAAATTGCTGGGTGACTTTCAAAAGAGACACAGTATGTAAAATGCCCGTAATGTAAGCCCGTGGCCACGATGAGTCACTAGAACAGACCTGCATCAGTATGGCTTCCAGTTTGAGCCCCTCCCTCATTCTCTCCTCCTGCTGTTCTTGACATCAGGGCTTCTCTGGGGACCTGCTAGTTCAGGTTTTACTAGCCAGCTGGACTTTGTTTCTATCAGACATTAGTCACCATTCCTTGCCCAAGGAATGCTTGCAAAATTGTTCCAAAAGAAACGACCTGAAAATCAGATGGAAATTGAGGAAATATTGGAAAGCCAGAGGAATCCCCCCAGATAAGTCGTGGATTCCTTTTACTTGAGTCTCTGAGACTGCTTTCTCTTCAGCTGGGCACACTGAACCAACATGACCCCCAGTCTCTGCTTTCTTCCTTTTCCCACTCTTTTTCTGTCCACTTCCTTTAACCATTTGCTCACCCTCTGTCCTCATTCCCCATAACCAGACAAAGATGTTTACACCTGAAGTAGATTGTAGGTTTGCTGGGGGTTGAATAATGGGGGAAACACCACCATTGACAAAATACCACCAAGTTGTTTGTGCGGCCATTTCTCAGTGTCCAGGAGAAGGCCACCACCTCAACCTCTACAATCTGCTACTAGTGGAAACATTTTTGTAACTCAGTTTTGTGTCTTTTTTTTTTTTTGTCGTGGGTGACTGTCGTGGGTGAGCCGTGGTGCATGTCCCTCCGTGTGTCTATAGTTGCATGTGAGTGCTGGTCACCTCCAGATCTCGTGAAATAATAAAGCGGTCTGAATCTAGCCATAATGTACAGTGAATCCCGCAACACCTTGCAGTCTCTTTGTTTAGTTCTTTTTTCAAGAAAAGTCTATCAAGCTTTCCATTTCACCTTTTTTTTTAAAAAAAAACAAACCACATTCACTCTGTTTTGTTTTATTTACACCATCATTTCTTCGCAGGTTCAGATGATTCCGGTTACCCTGGTAACCTTCATTCTTCAAGTTAGTTTCCCTTGATTATGCATAAGTCACTTTATGTTTCCTGTCAAGCTACTTGCTCTTTCTCTCCTCTGCCTCTCTCTGTGTCTGTTTTCTTAGTTCACGTTACACCATTTAATTCCACACAATTTCCATTTCACACAGAGCAGGAGAAGGAGTTTGAAATGACATAACAGTCATTACTCAAAGCAGAAGTTGACATGAAGCCTGGCAGTTTCCTCCACTAGCTAACCTCATTGATTCATAGCACAATAACATTCTCTTTTACACTAGGAGTGTTAGCTTGGGGGCTATGCTCGGTGACTTTTCATTTGGCTACAAAATCAGCTTTCCAGAGCATGCCCTGCTTTGAGTAACCAAACTATCTGCCTGCTTCCTCCCATAAGACATCTTTACTCCTCATGTTTTCCGGCCATCTCTAACTATAATGTTCTCTGTATTTTAGAAGAGTCAGCATGGTCTTCATGTGTTTTCAAATGTGTCTTCTTTTTCCTCTTCATAGGTATGGCTAGCCATCCTCCAATACCTATCTTGGAACTTGCAGATCACATTGAAAGATTGAAAGCAAATGACAACTTGAAGTTTTCCCAGGAATATGAGGTAATTCAGTGTGTTGATCCTTGACCATAGTATGAACAGTGTCACCTTCTGCTCATGGACCATGTTCTTGAAAATTAACTGGACCACTGGTATTATCCATTTCAGGATGCTCTAGAATCGAGTATTAAATAAATTACCCAACAGATCATTTAGAAATCTCTGTACCATCAATGTAGTGGTCACATTTTTCAAAGTGATTGAGTATTTTATGTCTGTTAACTATTTCTCATGAAGTTAATTTGTTCTTTCTGGTTTTAAGATCATAGAATTTATTTAATTTGTAGCCTTCATCAGAATATCAAATTCATGCCAAATTCACAGGTGAGATTCTTCACTGAAAAACAGATTTCTGGGCAGAAAAGGATTTCTCAATAGGTTGTATTGCATAACCTGAAAACTTTTTAATATTTACCATATGTATATGATTTTATCCTTTAGTCTAAACTATGTCTAGAGTTAAGAGAGTAGTGCATTCCCAAGGGAACTACAGTGGTACAGCGATTAAGAGCTTTAATACTATCAAGAAGGCCAGTGGGTTAAATGCAGTAGCCTCTCCAATGAAACAGAGATATGACAATCTGGTTCCATAAAGGTTGACAGCCTTAGACACCCAATGGGACAGTTCCACTCTGTCCTGTAGGATTGCTGTGAGTCAGAGGGGACTTGAAAGCAATGAGTTTGAATCCTGGTTTTGTTGTGAATGTTTTCTCAAAGAGTTACCTGTTTCTCAAGAAATGAATAGTGAACTCAATTTCTCTTAAAATAAAATACTTAAGGAAAATCTTGACAGTGGTGAGTAGTAAGCTTATGCGTGTGTTTGGATATTGTGGCATTTATCAAAGAGAAGATAAAACTGGGTACTTCTGGCATTATTTAGCAACAGCAGTCTAACAGCTAATTCATGAATTATTGATAACTAGATCATTATTATTCTTGTGAGTGAGTTTAATTTTGCATACGATTTAAATGTGCAGCTAAAATCGTGTTGGAAGCTCATGGCCGTTGGGTTGGAACTGTCTCATGCCTGACCTTCCGTCGAGCTGTGAGGCTGGATATCACACCAGAGAAAATTGCTCATCTTTCTCTTTCAGAGCTTCTGGTGGATTTGAACCCCTGGAGAGGGACAGTCTTTGGATTAGTAGTATAGCTCCCTACAGACTATGCCACCAGCACTTAAAAAAAAAATAAAGCCATAGGGAGACTGAGCAACCCAAATTCTACTGTAAGAGTTTTTGTTAGTTAATTTAATTGGACTCTTAAAATGTATTGCCTTTTGCTTCTGTTGCATCAGCATTAAGAAAGGAAGAATGAGATTGATCTTAGTCCCAACTGTTTGAACATCTTCCCTGAAAGATTATTTAATAGCTCATTGATATTCAGTTGGCCAGCAGAGTTACCCATAGAAGAAGGCCCATGTAATTTAATAGGTAGTCATAGAATCATTGACAAGTTTAATATTTACTTGGCCTTCCTAATACTCTCACATACTCAAATGTCGATTATTGGAAATTAATAATAATCTGATGAGTATATGTGATAGCTGAGAAAATCCAAGCTAGTTTTATATCTTGTGTCCTTGCCTCTTGGTTATTGTTTCTTTTATTTTGTCACAAGAATTCAAGAGAACATTTTCAGATTTGGGAAATTAGCATTGGATTGCAACGTGGCTTATTTTCTGAGATGATCTGCATTTTATTTCTTCGTCTTTTTTTAATAAGTTGCTGTTGTTCATGTTTGTTGAGTGAGAACCAACTCATAGCTGACACTCCAGGGTGGTTTCAGAGGCCGGAGATTACGAGGGTAGAGAATGCCAAACTTCCTGCTGATGAATTCAGACTGCTTGCTCTGGCTTGTTGGTGCAAGTTGTTATACTTTCTGGTTTGAGGCTTGAAGTTAACAGCTGAGGTTTATATGAGAGAATGAGATGTATGATGAATTCCATCAAGAACAACAAAAACCAGTTATTGGTTAAGTATCAGTTTTCATTAGCCCAGTAAGTTTGACTCCTCCAACCCGCTGGCTATTATTATCTTCATAATTCTTTTTAAGAGTTTGTTCCATGGTATTTTCATTAATGATCTGTTTTAATACTTTGTGATTGTGAATGATGAGATGAGGCTCGGGAGTAAAAAGTTGATACCTCATTTGGCCAGTAAACCACTGACTTAATCTTCTACAGTGTATCTTTGAATCATATGCACATCATTCAGTGACTGTATGAAGATATCACTTCATCCCTTGAACATAATTAATGATGTCCTTAAACTGTAGAATTTCTTGAGAAATGCTATGTGAACACACTCTATTCATTTAACCAATAGATCTAAGGTACTCCTTGAAAGTAGTTTTGAACAGTGTGCTGATGAGGCTTAAGTTTAAAACTCCCCAGTAGCCATTGGCGTGATAACTCACACTGACGCTATCATTTTCCATGGCCGTGGTCTCTGATGAAAGCTCCCTCGGCAGGAATTGACTCAGCTGTGCTCTAACAGCCATGAAGGAGATCGTTAAGGTTTTTATTCATCTGTGATAACAGGATTAAGGCTCCTACATAATATTCTGGGCCACAGAGCAAACTTTTGGAGATTTTCCTTTTTTTTTTTTTTCACTTACCATCTATCTTCCATGTCCAAGTGAAGGTTTGACAGTCTACGAAGACCAACCATTGAAAACCCTTAATGGTGGTAGAATAATTTGGAGTATGATATTGATAATGGTTATACAATTTGATGAATGGAATCAATGTCACTGATCTATACCTGTAAGAATTGTTGACAATGTGTTGTGATGTAATTTTTTTTAAAGAAAAGAAAAGAAAAAACAACCAACATTATGCACTGTAGATGTGCTCTGATATGGGCTCAGAATGGATTTGAAGACAACTGATTCTTTCTATTGAACTTAAGTGAATTTTACTCATTTTCAGTTGAGAAAATGAACGTGAAAAGACTTCTGTTTCTGTCAAACACCTAATTATTTTGGCATAATTACTACTAATCAGTTTTTACCAGAATCTCTCAAGATACATGAAGTTAAGTTTGTCAGTCTGGTTGCAAGGCTAATACAGAGGTCAAAAGCATGGAAGCTCTTGTGCTAATCCTGAGGTCAGAATAGAAGGAAATTAGCTTAAATTTAGCCCAGGTGTGTTAGATCATAGACGTGCCATCTTTACTGTAACGAAAATGGAATTCAGACTTTGGATTCAACGGGAACTTAAAGGAGGAACCTGGAAAATGAGGGTAGCCCTCATGTCTGAAGTTACTTACACACGTTCTAGGTTTACATCTTCCAATATGAGAAGGCAGAGTCCTACTGAAATTTAAGTATTCAGAATTTGAACACTCCTCTGACTGTCCTGGTGTTGTGACGTATCGTCGTGTTGAGTAGAGCTCATAGCAACTCTACGAACAATAGATCCGAATGTGGCCTAACTTGTGCATCCTCATCGTCTCTGACACACTTGAGCCCATTGCTGCTGTCACAGTGTTATCCCATCTCATTGAAGGTCTCCCTCTCCTCCACTGACCCTCCACTTTTATTACCATGATGTCCCTTGCCAAAGAATAACCTCTCCTAGCAATATTCCCAAAATGTGTAAGACAAAGCTTCGCCATCCTTGCCTTCACGGATCTTCCAAGACATGTATGTTTGTTCTTTTGGCAGTTGATGGAATATTCAATGCTCTTCTCCAACAAACACTACAGTTCAAAGGCTTCTGTTCTTCCTCTGTCATGCTTCTTCATTGTCCAGCTCTCAGATGCATAGCAAGGGGTTGACTCAGGCAACCTTAGTCTTCAAACTGACATCACTGCCCCTCAATAATATGGAGAAGTCTGTGACAGCAGATTTTCCTAGTGCAATATGTCTCCTGATCTCCTGACTCCTGGACCAAGGATGTTGGTTGTGGATCCAAGTAAGATTAAATCATTGACAATGCTGCTCATAGAGATAACGTCCTAACCTACATAGTTAGTGTCTTTTCTGTCATGAATTGTATATATTTTATAGGATAAGGTGATCCCTCCACACATAGTTCCAGCAGCAGATTTTTTTTCCAGAGCCCAAACAATTGACTTCTCAGTTACCTGTTAAATCACAGAGCAGTCTTCCATGTTCATTAAACAGCACTGAGCAGCTCTCAAAATTTCTTTTCAGATCAATGACTCTTTTAATCCTAACCAGCTCACTGGCATTGGGGCAGAACAGACCCATAGCTGACCATCAGGGGGGCTTTCAGAGGCTGCAGACTGCACAGGAGATGCCCCATCCTTCTCCCATAGACCATGTGGTAGGTTCAGGCTGTCTGCTCTAGGGTTGGCAGTGTGACTCTTCACCTACGAAGCTACCAGAGCTCTCTCTTTTAGTAGTATTCCTTAAAAATAATAAAATAATAATAATAATAATAATACTGGAGCAGCTGTGATGAATAGTCTTTGTCTTGTGATTAAAGAGGCAGAAGAAATGCTTCCGTCCCCAGAAGGTGACTGACCTGAGCAACACCTTCTCTCATCCCTGAGCCATTGCTTCCTCTGGGGGAAGCTTCTCCTGGCCACATTTTACACCTTCTCCCGCCTGGGCTTACAGTAGATGGTTCAGCAGATAGTGCATTGGGCTCCTTATCCACCTAAATTTGCATTTCACAGAAACTCGTTGTTTGTGATTAAGTTGCTAGCAGGGCCACAAAAGTATCAGAATAAGAAGTGTCTTTCTTTTAAAAAAACAGTTGCTTTTACCAGTTATGTCCCCAGCCAACCTATCACCTGTGAAGCCTTATTTTCAGGTCCTTTTCTCCCAGGAAATAGACTTTTATTATCCTTTGGTGGGACAGAAGTTGGTGCATTTTAATGCAGATGTTCAGATTTAACTGAAAAGTACCTATCCATTAAACTCCTAGAGCAACTTGTGTAGCAACGCTGAGTCTGTTGGTGGACAGTCATTGAGGACCAGTGCTGTGTCTTCCCTCAGGACCAGGCTGGTTGTGTAAGACATAAAGGCACCAA